TTTGATTCCTTACTAATTTCAGGGCAACACATTTATGTTTTTTTTATTTGAGTTTGAAAAAATAACATGCCAAAGAATGAAATGCTTAAGTTCAAAATATTAAACACTCTTTTATAATCAGTAACACCAAATACCCAAAGGGGAAACGTGTGTAAGAAAAGGTTGGGAACTTCTGCTTTAAAGCATCTCTGACTGATTGTTTCCTTATTTACCTTTACATAAGATCGGAAGCTCAGTCAGTTCAGATGGAGAAAGTTTGTGAATGTGGCTTTTCACACCATAAATTCTCAAAATGATTAATTACTGTACTTTGACTGAGCTGTTCTAATATAGAAATGTTTTTATTTATGGGTTTACAGTCATGTTGATGAACAGGAAATTCCTTCAGTCTTTTTCAGGTCGTCAGGACTTGTTGCTGGATTTCTCACAGTTAACCTGAACCTGGTTAAAATGGAGAGCTGCCATGTTTCAACACTGGTTGAGATTTTTAGAAAGACATGCAGTGTTAGCTTACCTCCACACACATTGTGGGCTTTTCTGACCAGAGCACCTTTTTTTTTATCAAACAAAACTAAGAGACCTTTTTAAAAAGCCTCATTAAAAGGGATCTTAAATAAAACAGAGAACTGTTTCCTGTTTATGGGTCCTTTGTAGGCAGTTGGTCGTACTGAATTAATTCTATTATCAAACTAATAGAGGCTCTCCATCAATCAATCAATCAATAATTAATCTTTATCCTTCCACTTCAGTGACTCTTAAATCCAAATTAATCTAAAAGTAGTTGCCTTTTCAAACTGAAAAGAACATTAACCTTCTGCAGCCGCCCATTCTACGTCCCAACTTGACTCCACTGAAGATTAGGACAACAGCAATGGAGCACATCTTTACATTAAAATAACATTTCCATAATCTCAATTTTACTGGGAAAAGGTGCCTTTCAATAAACTCAGATTTTAAATTTTTTTGTGACATGAAAATGTGCGAGAAAGTAACTAATTCAATAAAATACGTTTTGGGATCATAATCCTTAGAAAACAGAACCTTCGTATGCCATTTTTTTCTACCAACTGCTGGAAACCAAATAATCTAAACATCTAATGCATCAGGAAGCTAATCTAATCTATTCTATCATCTGTTGTTTTCACACAGCTGAAAAATCTGGGTTCTTGTTACAGAGGTGAACAACTAGACGCAAACCATAAATAATCATTTACCAAGGGGCTTCCTACCACTCCTCCAGCCCCTGCAGTTTCATGCTAAACTCCAGGAAGAGTTTGCGCTTCCAAGCCTCATTTGCTGTATCTGATAAGCTCGCCATATTCTCCTCTGTCAGTGCGATTCCCAGAGGCCACAGAGAAACACAGTCAGCAGATTCTGATAACATGTACGAGCATGATGTTTATTTTGCTTCAGAAATCAAAGTGGCCTTTGTGCTTAGTTTGGAGTGAGATTCTCAGGCTTTTAAAGCTCAGTGTAGCGTTTCCATGCCCTGGCTGAATCACTGTCACGGGGCCTTCAAAATAAACAGGCTCCTCCACTGTGAACCCTCACCGCTGAAGTGGGGCATCTAAACCAGGGCTGGGTTAGACGGCTTCTGAAACTAGGCAGCTGCTTATGGAGCCGCGGCCCACCGTGGCAAATGTATGATTATTATAGGATATCATCTAGAAATCTCTACTCATACAAAAATGCAGTTCTTTTAGTTGTCTTGGCGGCCATCTTGATGCTCAGGGGAGGTAAGACCAAAGCAAACTGATAGTGATGAAAGGTGACAAGCTGCAGAGATTGAAAACCTTCCAAAACTCATACATGAATCTGTCAGATCTGCTGACTTCTCTCAAAACCAGAGTTTTATCCAAATCTTTAGACTGAACTCTCCCTGTGACTCCTGCTTCTGGAGAAGCTTTTCCAATTCAAACAAAGATGTTCAACCTTCCAGGGCAGGAGAAGGACTGATATTCCCGTCACTGACTAGTTTGAACAAAGTTCAGATTTCTTACAGTGATGTCATAAACGAGTTTGCAAACAGAAAGCCTGGAAGCACAGGTTTAAATCAGCTAGTGGTGTAATGAGCCTTTGCATATATTTGTATACTTTTAGGAGGTTTTTTAGCAGGACTAATTCAACTTTTTTTTTAAGTCATTTAAACCTGGTTTCCAGTGACTTAATTTACATAAGTATGTTTTACATTCTATTTTTCATTTTATTTAATTAATTCTGTTTTTGTAGAATTACATTTATCATTCTTATCTGAGTTCATTTTTTTAAAATATGTTTTTCTCCATGGATTTTTTACCCCCATTGCTTTTGCAGTTTTATTATTACCGAAAATCTAAAGTAAATGACAATTTTACTGTACACACAATGTATTCTAGTTAATTTAATCACTTCTAGCAGCACTGGATGATTATATACAGGCATGCTCACAGTCAGCCCTCTAAGGTCGCCATCCTGCAGGTTTTGGAGGTTTCTCTGATTTTAGCACAGCTGATTCTGACCATTGCAGAAAATCCTGTTGATCAGCTGTGCTGAATAAGGAAAACCTCTAAGTCCTGCAGTAAAGCGGCCCTCAAGGGCCAGCTTTTGACATGCCTGATATAGGGTAATGTACCGGTAAACCGACTTACCAGAGCTGCTGTTGACTGTAGGTGTGCGACTGTTCAGATCATCTGAATATTGATTGCAGTCGACTCATCTCAGTGGTAGAAATAGATGGTCAAAAACCAAACATTGCTCAGAACCCTGTGGACGGCTGGACCAGCTCTGATCTAAACACTGCACTAAATGTGGAGATATTAATCATAGGAGAGCTGTTTATTTCATAGCTACCAAAAGCTTTTTATTTTTTTTTATTTGGTGCCACTGATATCTGGAGACACATGAACTGGGTGGTGTTTATTCTCTGGACAGGCCCTGGCGCGATGACACCATCCCCTGTGTGTAAAATTAGCCCCTCAGATGAAGATGCTGAAAGACGAAAAGGCTCAGGCTGCGTTTTAAGTCCCATGCGAGGAACCCAGGAATCGAGCCGTTGGTGTAAACAGCAGAGACGGGTTTGGTGGCGCTTTGAAGCTGCAGTGATTGCAGCTGTCTGGAAGTGAAGCTCTTTCACATGTGTGCTCAGGTTCAGGAGTTCATGTTTTACAGCAAGTCAAACATAGAAAAGTAAACCGCAAATGACAAACCCAGAGAGCAGTGAGCTCCACAGCTATTTTTTCTTTTATATCAGAACGCTGAGGTCATGCAGTCGTTTTGGTTTACCTTATTTGAGATGGATGGATCACATGAATAACATGCGTCACTTTTACAGGCGGGGAGAGAAATCCAAGCAAATGGCTAAAACCCACAGACTGAATTCTTCAACTTGTCATGTTTTTTTTCTTAATTCAATGTTGAAAACATTTACTTAAACTTTATTTTCTTTTTATCTGCAAATGTTTCCTGCAGAGCGTGTAGCAGTAAATCAGAAACAAATATCTTTTATTTTATTCTCATCACATGAGAGTCGGTTGCTTTCTGCAAAGTTTAACATTGAAATGTGGAATCATTTAACTTTTTACTGCAAACTGAATTCTTTCAAATGTTCTTTTATTACTTCATAAATCAGGAACGGTGGAAGTACTTAGTGCCAGGAACAAATGGAACGTGCTGCATTCCTCTTTAGTACCTGTGTGTATGCAGCACCTCCTGCTATTATCTGTTACTGCTGATCCAGGCCTCACAGGGAGTCTCCTCTGGACGCCTTCGATTGGGAAACTCTGGACCCCACAGTAGAACAAATGCAACATCTATCTGTAATGTTTTCGTAGTAAGAAGGAGTGCAGCACTGTGCAAGATTTACTAAAAAACTTCAACTTCTATGAGAAGCAAAATACGGTAGTTTAAAATCTGTAGTATTAACTAACTACACCCACATGCTCTTTGCATCTAACATGGACGATCTTTACTGTCAAATTACAAACTGCTCATCAGAGAGAAAGTGTCAGGATGTATTTGGAGTGAAGCATATCCAGAAAACCATTAAATGATGTAAAAAGCTATGAAATGTGTGAAAACAGCCTAACAATAGAATTTGTCATGGCTAACAACGAGCCATGTAATCCACTTAGAAATGCTTTGGGAGGTGGAAAAAACTGCATCTCTGCACCAGGATGAGTTGGTAAAATGACGCTCTGATCAGAAGCCATCTAACCTACTAAAAACGATGCATCCAGCTTTTAACCCTGTGATGGCGTTTCGTTGCAGTCGCTGGATGATGGGAGCTGATAGAACCGGCAGGCCTCAGCGGCCCGGGCCCGGCGCTGCGCTTTGTTCCCAGATCCAGGGGTTAATGGGTTTTCCTTCCTGGGCGGTGAGGGAGGAGAAGCACAGCTTTCTGCATCGAGGAAAATTAGGATGCAGCCTTGGTTGGCGGAGCCGGGGAGCTGTCTGCTTTCCCAGCAGCCCCTGGGCCGGTGACAGGGAGATGGATGATATCTGCAGCCTGGCTGCACTGCTCCCCCAACAAACACACCTACAGTCTTTCCTCATCCTCTCTGTTCCTCAAACACACAGAGTATGAATACTAGTCTAATACGCCTTTGTCACTGTTGCCTCTGGCAACAAAACTCATATCCTTGATATCAGGGGGGATGAAAACAATAAAAATGTTTGGAGAGAGAACTGCAGAATTCCCTTTGTTTGCTCACATAAAGTCAAACATGATGCGTCAAAATGACCAAACAGACACAGAGAGTTGGTTTTGAGAGGTTTATTAAAACCAGAGTTTACAGAGAGGGGAACAAGACAGACACCTACAATAGCAGCAACTGTTTTCCTTCAGAAGTGATTCACTACTTAGGTAGAACTTTGATAAAATAAGTCGTCATTATTGCCTTTCCTCTGGTCTGCTGTCTAATTGTCTCTAATTGTCCTTACCTGTTGTCCAGGTTTGCTCCACTGTTGCTGCATTACGGACCGTATCCAGTGGTCATGTCACCTGAGCGACACCCGCAGCATACTAATACACTCTGACAGGTAGGAAACACGTTTGGCGCTTGGTTTAGACCCCGCCTCCTTTTCCTCTACCTCTTCCTTCTCATCACTATGCAGGAACAGAGAACAGGAAGGGGGGTGTAAAAGACAGTGAATGGCGGAGCGGGGAGAAAGGACAAATAAGGTGAGAGTGGTGCTGAAAGCCGGGTGGGGGTGGTGATATGAGAGAGAGAGGGATGAGCGCAGAGGAGGGCCAAGCGAGGAGGGTGGGGGGTGTACAGAGGGACATCCATCACTGTTTTAAGTGACTGCAGTGGGAAGGAGCTGAGTAAAAGGTCGTCTGGTCTCTCTGCAAGCGCCGGACACCTAGGCCGAGCTAGGCTATGATGCTTACGACTCAGAAGGCCTCTGTAAATATTCTAACAAAACACTAAAGTCACACAAGTGAACAAAACCGCTAACAAAAACGGATAACACAAAATAAAGGAATAAGGAGCAGGGATGCAGAGACTGATGGATCTGTCTCATCTCTGAGCGCCAAGAGGGACGGACATCCTGGATCAAAGACATGAGGACAAAAAAGGTTTAAGAGAAAATGTGAGCAATACAATTTAGAAACAATTTTTTTAATCTTCAGAGCTTGAAAAGTCCCAGTTAGCTTCATTCCCTTTGCATTTCCCAATGGTTGGAGCAGTGTTAAAAACATAACTCTGTTTTTTCCATTTTATTTCAGAGACACTTTGTCTACTGACTGCTTTAAATGTGTTTTTACAGAGACATGAAAACTACTTTGGTTCCTGAGGATGATGGTGGCAACATGGACCTTCATCAAGTCTTAGGCCTGAAACATTTTGATCCTCTTCTCAAGGGAACATTTGAAATGAATAACATTCTCTAATTTCTTGCCTTTAAATGCAACCTTTTCCTCACTGCACCCAGACTCTGTTTCTACTGCTTTAATATAAGGTCTTCTACAGCAAAGATAAAAACAAACCTTTAACCCTGTCATGCATACTGATCACTACAGTGTACAGCTGTATATATGTCTTCAAGTTGATCATTATTCATACATGACAGGATTAAAGTATCTGAATCATTTTGTTTTTGGTCTCAGACATGCTGGTTGGTCCGTCTGCTCAAATGAAGGGCAAATACTTCACTTGGACACATTATTACTCATTTTTCTATCCTTTTTAGCCCAGTTCTGCTGACACTAGATTACAAATGTTCTGTTCTGTTAAAGTAAATAGAAAACATTTATCCTGTTAACCTTGGAAGTCAGCAGGTATAGAGAAGCTTCTGACCTATAGTTGTTACTGCAGCCTTTAGCCTGCAGTAACAACTATAGGTGACTTTAAAGACTACACCTCTGGATAGCCAACGATCAGACACAACGTATCCCAGCATATTCACACTTTGATGCTTTTGATGCGCAGGGAAACAGACATTAAAATCAGCTTGATTTATACCCCCTTATTGAATTAAAAACTAAATGAAATTGCTTCTGTAGGAGATTAGTGTGTGAGTGAGGTGGGGGGGTACCACACTCTGCCATCAGCACACTATTCTGCTTGTGAGGTTACTGTCTGGCCTCCTGCCGCAGTGTCTGGAAACTCAGACGCCGCCCCTCCATTCTGCACCCTATCAGTCATACCTACACCCCACCCCCCCAAGATGGAAGATCCAGTGAAAACAGAGCAGCTTCATCCGACTTATTCTGAACCCAAGGCTGGCAGAAATAATCATCCAGCTCTGCAGCCTTCATCTAGCTACACGGCCACCTTTGAACGTACAGAAATCTCTCAGACTCTTTGGTTTATCTACAGCTACTGGAGCTCTGAATGGATCCCTGAGGAAAACCAGAAGCCCAAAGATCCAACCGTGCCTTTAATAAACGGGAGGGGATGAGACCTTCTCTCCGACTCCAGCTCCTCTGTACACAATATTCATCTAACTTGTTCTTAAAGCCAAATGTCTTATAAAATTAGACAAGATGTTTTCATTTTGTTTGCAAAGTTTTGCTGGAGTAAAATAATCCGTTGCTGTTTAGAGACACTTTTTTGGGGGGGCAATCTGTGGATTGGGATTTTTTTTTTTTCTTATAGGACTGGATCTCATATAAGACAAAAAACATGGTGGATATTCTTTGGTATTATACTGCTAATTCTGATCATTTAAAGTTTATCCAGTTTTCTGTAGCGATGCATCAGGAAGTCTGGAAGCACGGATTTTAATCAGCTAGTGGAGTAATGAGCCTTTGCATATATTTATATACATTTAGCAAACCTAATTCAACTTTAATTTCTATTGTTTAACTAAATGAAACCTGGTTTCCAGGGACTTCACTTACATAAGTATGTTTTATATCCTATTCTTCATTTTATTTAATGAAGTCTGTTTTTGTAGACTTACAGTTATCATGAGTTCATTTATTTGTTTTTGCACCATGGGTTTTTTTCTTTTTTTCCCCATTGCTGTTGCAGTTTTATTATTACAAAAAATCCTAAATTAAATGACACTTTTAATGTAAGCTCATTGTTTTCTAGTTCATTTAATCACTTCTAGCAGTACTGGATGATATCAGACAGGCCTAGTTGGCCCTCTAGGGCCGCTGTCCTGCAGGTTCCAGAGGTTTCTCTGCTTTTAGCACAGCTGATTCTGGAGATAATTGTCCTCTTGTTCATGCAGCTGCTTGGGGTTTTTGTTTTTGGGAGCTATCATTTGATACATCAAATAAATAGAAAAATAAATCATATTTTTAAATCTTACTAAGCTGAAAGTTTAACACCAGTCAATGAAAGGAGCCCTCACTTTGTCAGATTTAGCAAACTTGAAAACTTTGGGATGCAGGAGAAATTATTTCAGATTTTCCTCAAAGGTTCTGCAGTTTAAGCAGCTGCCCAGACCGAACTTGTTTGACTTTGAACAAAGTTAGTTTTCCCCGTGTGGCAGAGCTACAAACTAACCAGAAGCTGATTTTTACGGGGTGATATTTATTGGATCCTTGGTGGATTATTCTCAGCTTGCTGCTTTGTTACTCGTGTGTGTGTGTGTGAGGATTTGCTCAGTGCGCTGCCAGACTTTGCTGTGTGTCAGACAGACCCTAATAAAACTGTCTGGCTGTTCTGTGGGCACTGGTTTCATTCCGGTGCGTCTGACTGCTCAGAGCTCGTCGTGGCGTGGAGCTGGCCTGCTTGGTATTCACGGGGCACGGCGCTCTTTCAGCTGTTGCTAGGAGCGCCGTGGCACAGGCACACACTGGTTAGCTGGCATCAACATTTTTTTCAGTGCGACTCCAAATGGGGGAAAAAAAACAGAATCAGGGAAAGAAAAAAAATTGAATGTTTTGAAATGCATTTATAAGAAAAGTCATTGAGGAAAAACTGCTGCTGTGGATAAGAGAGTTTAAAGATCAGGTCAAACTGTCGGTCCTTAAAAAGCAGAATACAGAAGGACTGCTGCTTTAGAACAACTAAATGCATTTAAACTAACAGATGTGTGTTGCCTGCTAAGGCTCGTCTCCTTTTGCTGAATTGGGTCATGGACCAATTTAGCTGGGGTATCTCTGCACGACGTTACAGTAACAGAAAGTCAGAAACGCCTGTTCAACGATTACAGAAGACAAAACTCTGATTATTGCATTAAACAGCAGGAACATTTCTCTGCATCTTTGTAACATTTGAAAGCCCAGATTTACTTTTTTTAACATTAACAGTTTAAATGTTAAAGTATTTACAAAGCTGAAGTTATTACTGAAGGACATTTCTCACCTAAACTAAATGCTTTTTCTTTTTCAATGCTTTTTCAATGGAATTACTGAGCAGGACTGATGCAGGATTTCTGAAGGAGCTCAGACTTCCTGTCGCTTGGTGTGGGTTTTTTAGCAAAAAGATCTTTATTATCAATATTTTACCTTTTTCCTTACTTAGTTTAGGGAGCGCCTTCAAGAAGGATGTGGGAACATACAGAACAATACAGATTTATACATGGAGGAATTCCCTTAATGCAGAGTTGAGTGTGTAGCAGCAGGAAACACAGAAAGCAGCAGGAGATGAAGAATTAGTCTCATCTTTCAGCAGACATCCCTGCTGGTTGATCGGAGCAGGACTCAGACCGAGGAGGTAGGACTTATCACTTTGAATGCAAACGAAGGAGAATTTTAAAAAATCAGCGCTGACACAAAGATTAGGCTGGTATTTTACAGCACGGCGAAGCATCCTAACACAGCATGGCTGCTGTAGCCGGCGAAATAAATCGTTTTGTTTTGTTGTTTTTTTTAACAAAAAATGCAATTTATATATGATGAAAAGAGAAATTCATGCACATGCAACAAAAATGCTGTGATGTGCTTTGATGAAAGCTGCAGCATACCGCCGCGTCGTCTCATGCCATGTCGTCTCCCGTGCTAATTTATTTCAGTTTCCCAATTGATTCTTGTTGCTGCTTGATTTCCGCTTCACATTTTGGATTTTTTTTGGCAGAAAGTCGATTGTGCCCTCCGCCCGCGTCCCAAGAGCCTAACCCGTGATTTTTTATCAAGAGAGCTCACAAGTTAGGGTCTCAGGGAGCAGGTGAAGTACGACAGAGTCTACTGAGGAGCTGCAGTCAGCTGCAGGGTAGTCAATGACACCTTTTCCTCCTCCTCACTCACATATGCACACACAATGTCTTTTCCAAAGGCACCTTACAGCAGCCTGCCATTAGAAAGCCAGATGCTTCTGTATCCCGACTGCCTCTTCTGAATAATACCAATGCTCCTGCAAAGCCTGCATGCCTAAACACACATTAATATGCTGCTAAATGTGAGCTGACATCAACTTCTTCAAGCAGATAGCAGCAGCAGAGAGAAAAACAGCAAATTTGGTGAAGAAATGGAAAAACTGTAAGACAGACAGACGTAAAAGATCTCCCTGCTCCACACAGATGCAGACAAACAGAAGCCCACTCTGTGCTAACTAGCCTTTGTGCAGGACCCCCCCCCCCCCCCCCACGCCATGGTCGGGCGTCTTTGTCCTAAAGAACGCAGCTGATCATCAGTTGACATCTCAGAGCGTCCCTCCGTGGTGAAAATATGGCAGAGTCCAGATGTTGAGCAGGAAGGAGCGGCTCTGATGAACGGAAAGATGCGAGTAAAATCCCTGGCAGGAAGAAGCTTTAATGAACTGTTAGGAAAAAAATGAGCAGGTTCGTCCCCAGCGAAGGGTCACGATCTGTCTTCCTACCCCCCCCCCCATTTTACTTTCCATCACTTTCAAAGGCAGACGCTTCCAGCTGAACCGAGGCGACTTTCAGCAGGTTGGAAGGCGAACAGAAAGCAGCTTCGGTCTGAAGAAGAAGCAGCAGAACAGCTGGAGGCGACAAGCAGACAGTAAAAATTACCAATAAATTAAGACGGAAACATTTTTGGCTTCTGTTCCCCCAAACACACCACTGTCTGTACCCCCCATTACTTAACCCCTCCCCCTCAGCCCCCACCCCCCCTACAGAAACCCCTGCCAGTCAGATAGATGTCTCTGACTTCTGTCTGGGGACGGCCAGGCACCAGCTGACGTGAT